GTCAGGAATAACTTTTAGCATCTGTTTTGTCAAAACGCTCCTAACACATTTTGGAGGAATTGCCTAAAAAGCACTGATAATTTCATTAGAGGAAGAGGGTGATTTCCTTGAGGCTGACTTCATTGTCCCAAGCTCTAATTTCTATGGAATTTTAAAAACCACTTGATACAAGAGCTTTGAATTGAGGAATGCTAATGATCCTATGCTACCTTCTGAGGGATAGCTACAGAAACAGTCGAATGGTTCATCTGAATATTGCAAATAGTGTAGCACACTTAAACCAATAGGTGAAGAATAGAATGATCTTAAACTACATTCGTACAGCAGTAATTTAATCTGCACATCAGTGAATTTTTTTTTCCTCAGTGCTGCCTACAGTTTTAAGTGTTCCCTCTCAGGGCTCCTTCCAGACAAGGTAAACTTCACTTTGCTATTTCAGAGCATAGCCTTGGGGTAAGTCTGATTGGTCATTTGGGGATGCTTTGTATGGATGAGTGATTCAACAACAGATATGACCTGGGATTTAAATCCTTTTGTATTTCAGTATTTTCTATTGCTAGAGCTAGTTCTTTGTTACCCATTGTACTATAGTCTCTAATCCTAATACTCCTGATTATCCCTACTTACTGTGCTTTAGTTCACACCCTAAAGCAGTCTTGGAGCTCATGACCTGGCTTCCTTTCAGATGGAGCTAAACTGGAATATGTGTTCCTACTGCAAATGAGCATTCAGTCCTTGGGACCAGACTAGAGCTAGTCTAGAGCCTGTTTCGTGAGAAAACAAACCCTAGGATGCGCATAATGTTGACAGCAGATCCTCTGCACTATTTCTCTTCACACATGTTTGGGTCAGTCTAGACACAGCCTTTGATGGCAACTTTGCATTTGAGATTACCTTATTTTTTGCCTAAGACACTGTTTTAATGACTTAGACACCTGTGTAATTGGGAAGGAAAGTTGTATGTGTAAATTGTTCATGCTGAAGAAGCAACATAAGCCTTCAAAGTGATTTCCTTCCTTCTTCATGCTCTTGATAGAAAATGCAAGCAGTAATGCTATAAGTTAAGGAATAATGGTCATTGTTCCTTGTTTTCCATTTAGTAGAGGAGGGATCCTGTAAGCTCATTCAGATCTTTGCATGGTTACCAAAGGTGGGACCTGCTAGGGGGACAGCAGGGTCCTGGCAAGCTCTTCTGTCCTTCTTGAGGACTTGAGGCTTTCTCTGCATTGTGTGTATTTGGCTTTGCTCGAGTTCAGCAGGCAGAGGCTAACTGCTGTAGTGGATTTCAATTGGGATGTTACCATAGCATCCTGGGACTTTTACAATCTATTTAAGTCCAAAGGTTTGAAAAGAGTGCTTGAAAGTTTCTGAACTCTGGCAGGTTGCCGAAATGTAATTACACAAAAGACAAAGCCTTATGAAAGCAGCTCTGTACAGAACAGCAGCACCTGAGTGCTAGAGATCCCAGCATAGCCATTTGAGAGCTAAGGCTGTTTTATCACAGTCCTCTCCCAGAACTTCTTTCTTCCCCTCATATGCATGTGCCATCCCACAAGCATAAGTCTGGGTGTGCTGCAAGACACAGCTTTCTCAGCAGTGGCATTGGAAGAGACTGTTCTGTGGTTTGGCTGCTTTGGGGCATTTAAACGAAAGGAGTGAGGAAGTAAATATCTTGAAGTCCCTACTGTAAAAATTTCTTTAGAACTTTCCATCAAGTGAGAACCTTGCATTATTCTTTTCTCGTCTATCTCCAGGATATTCTCCCAAGTGAATGGGAAAAGCTGTTTTGTTAATGGAGTATGTGGTTGCGTAACAATTCTTGTGTGAAGTGTGAGTGTTCACAGTAAACTGCTGCTAACTAATGAACATTCAGTTCAATTTGTAGTTTTGGTTTCAGCAAGACAAATAAAATAACATGATTGGTAACTGTTTGTTAATGTTCTAATTTACCTACTCTATTTACTGGTAATGTAGAGGACTGGAGCAACCATTAAGTCTGCAATAGGAGGCTTGGAGATTTGCAGAGTTGTTGAAAGCTTTCCTCTGGAAGGAATCTCTTGCAGATGGCTGCACTAAATGCCTAAAGGGGGGAAAAAAGTTAACCAGAGAATTGAAAGATTATTTTCCCTGCTTCTGAGTTCACAAACCCATTTCTAAATGATTGAGGACAAAGTAATAACTTGTTGAAATACCCTGGTTTGTTTGTAAGTCTTTTTCCTGCAAATGTGTTGATAAGCTCTGGCCACCTAACTTTGCTAGCGACGAGGAACTGGAGAAGACATCTGTTCTCATGTATATAAAAGTCATAGGCAAGGTGTTGGTCATACTCCCTACCTGCTGTTGGAATACTTGTAATGGCTTTAGGTTGTCATAATGTCTTTTTCTTCCAGAAGAGTTTACCTGTAAACTTGCCACATTGATAGTAACTTCACCTCTGGGCAGCTGTTAAAAGAACAAGTGGCCACGTTATTTTGGTACTGCTCATCTACCCGTGATAAAGGAATTTCAACATATATTTTGTTCAAAATGTGTACTGTTCCTGTCCCTTGTAGGGATCTTGACCCTGCCTGTGAATAGATCTGTTGACTTGCTATTGGACTGCTTGCTGGATAGCTCCATCACAGGCTGGCTCCTTTGAGCTGAACTTTTACAGCTTATAAAAAGGAATTTATAAAGTAGGGTGTCTGAAATGTAGCATCTTAACTGGGATAAAATTCTGACTCCCATGCTTGCAGACTTCAGCTTTTTGGGAAAAATTTTTCCATTGTTTAGTTAAACAAAATCCTCTTTTACTCAACTAGCTGGAGGCACTTGGCTGTCAGCACATCCAGGTGTGCTGACGTTCCAACATATCCACCCACTCTTTTAACTGAGTAAGCAACAACAAATGATATCATAGCCTTCTGCCTGGTAGGTTTAGAGCCATCCCATGCTGAAAATATTAGTGATTTGAATTTTCACTTATTAGAAATAAGGAGTAATATAGTAGGGCTGTCTGCTGTGAATTAATAGTATGTTAGCTTCATGTCCGGACCTTTCCATTACAGTTGTACCAGCATCTGCTTCCAGAAATTGCATGTTCTGTAGTTGTTCTGAGCAGGATAATTTGGTGCATGTAATTGTATCATTGTACCTTCATCTTCTTTCTCTACTAAAATGTCTCCCTTGTATATGTTATCTTTCTGAAAGCTGCCTTCTCCTATTACACCAAGTTTCTTCTTTTTCATTTGTATCCTTTTCTCCATCAGCCTGTCAAATCATCAGCAAAACAATGCAAATCAGAAATGAAAAAAATCTTACAGGCTGTGGTTTGGGATGAGAAGATCTGAAATTCCATTTCTAGCTTTGTCACAGGCATCTTGTGAGACCTTTTGCAAGTTACTTTCCCTTACTCTGAACTCACTTTAAGACAGTGAGCTACAGCACTTTGTAATGAATACTCTTTACTTGCAATGATAGTCATGTAATTTTGGCATATTTTGATCTGGCACATGATTTATTTATTTAATCTCTTGTGACAATGACACCATGCAGCAGTGGTGCATGAAGAATGCTTCATAAATATGAAATACTGTATTTGTCCATGATATTTATAGAAAGAGTTCTCCTAATTCCAGGATTCAAGACTCATGAGTGTTTCTTAATTGCACGGTAATTGTACTTATTTTATTTGAGTTGCATTTCCTTCTGGGCAGGTGGGCTAGAAACTCTGTTCTGTCCTATTCAACACATGACAAGAAATTTGCATTTGCTCACATGTGTTTGAGAACCAGGATGTTAAAAATGAGAAATTATGATTCCTTTTGTAAAAACTGAATTGGCTTCTCTCCACATAAACACACAGGAACACACACACAGCCTCAGTCGGTATATGACTTTTAAAATTTTGCTCAGCTCTGTCTGGTATAATTCTCTTGCAAGTCTGAGACCCTTTTCTGTACTACGAAGGATAAAGTGATTTAAACTATTTATATTTAAAGAGGTGATTTAAAATTGCAAACTGAGAGGGTTCACTCACCACCAGATTTTGTCTGTTGTGGAGATGCTACCTATGGAGAGGATATGCTGTGATGAAAGTAAACTTGTATCTTAGCATTAATTCTCTCCTATGCGGGGAGTTAAGCTGCTGTCCCAAGTGAATGTTTTTAATGATCTCTCTGGAGTGTTTCAAAGCTTTGTCCCACTTGCATGATGCAGGGCAGAATGCACAAAATCTATCTTTGAGGCAACCCTGTCATTATACCTTTTGGTATATAATGTTTGTATTTGCATTTCTTTTGTTCTTGCATCTTGAGCTTTACCATGCCCAAAGGAGAACTTCTTGCACTTCAGAGAAACCTTTGTAAGACAAATGTTTGCTGTAATAAGTTAGCCTAAAGTGCTTACAGCTCACATTTTAGAAATTTATTCTAAAATACAAAAATGTGAGTGTCAAATTGACATTGACCAGCTACTCTTTTCAAAATGCACTAGTGGAAAGTGTTGTTTAGAGATGTGTCAGTCGTCTTTTCATGACAACTGCAGTAAGTTTTAGATATCCAATACTGTAAACTTTCAGTAACCTAGAAATGAAATCTTGAGACTTGTGTTAAAGAGGATTTTTTTTTTTTGGTGGCTTTACAGAAAACTGTAATGAGAATAACAGTGAAGTTCAAATGGTACTAAAAGAAAGGGCATCTTCTGGTCAGATAAACAACAGTTACTCTTGACCAACCATTTTTCCAGTGGATTGTTTTCAAATAAGTGTCTCTTGGACACCCCTTGCTAGAATTCTTTAGAATGAATTTTATTTTCACAAACTTCTAATTCCTATAATTAAATTTCAATGTGTGGTTTTTGCAAATAGTCTTCTCTCCAGAGAACAGATGGGTATAAGCTTTGGAGATTTGGTTTCACAAAATGTAATGGCCAGTGGTTTCCTTGCTACTGTTCTAGCTGTTCTCAGAACATTCATGTTGGTTCAGCTTTCTAATGTTCTTGTTTTGACTTAATCTCCACAGTTTCAACAGTGTGAGACAAGGAACACACATCTTATTCCGTGAGTTCAGCTTTGTTCAAGCCACCCCTCATAACAGGGCATCTTTCCTTCGGACCTTCTGGAGGTGTTTCCGAACAGTGGGGAAAAACGGAGGCAAGTATTCCAGCATCTGCTGCTGTCCTGTTACCTTGACAATAAAATCATTAGCTAGGCTATTAATGCAGTACAAATACTGACACTTCACACTGTGTTCTAATGTTCTAACGTTCTAACATTGTCAGTAGGGAGACACCATCACAGTTCCCTGTGGAATGGTTAAAAAATGCTCCCGGAATAAAATAGTGTAGGAGCACCTTGTTTCTGGTGTTTCTTCTGTTAGAGAACAGCATGTCAAACAACGATGGATCAGCGGGAGGACATCTATGGGCCTGTGCATTGGGATAGATAGGAAAAAATATGTGCTGGGGATTGGTGTTTGGGACCCAGAGATGGTTAGAATATTGTATATGGAGCATGAAGAAAGGAGGTGCTGAGATTATCAGACAGTTGAGGTAACTGAGTGCTTTGTTTAGAAGCCCTGCAGGAGGTTGTTTGTAGCAGTGTTGGGCTGTGGGGTGGTGAACCTGCCACCTGAGCTGTGCCTGAACTAGTCCTGCCACAGCTCCTAGATGATTGTGCAAAATCCTGATGGCTGTGGAAGGGGGACCACTGACAACTGTGTGACCTCTTCTGCAACCCTATCCACAAGGAAAAAACTCCAATGGCAAAATAACAATTCAGCACTGTACTATCATGTCTAGTTATTCTTATACTGCACTCTGTATATTAGGATTACAGAACTGGCCAGAGTTCAAAATAAACTCATGTAACTTCATGCAACTAAAATTATGTTTTGCTTTACTTTTTAATTTACTATTTTAAGCAAACACACTAAAGTTGCTGTACAAATATGAATGTTGATGGGGTTTCTTTTACTATAAACCTCACTTTTTTGCAGGCTATTCAGCCTCATTTCTTCTTGCAGGAAAGACTAGAACTATCTCTTAAATATAGATAAAAACTCACCTTCTGGCTAGGCTTTGCAACACTTCTATTTATGTTGAACAGAGTTTGCAAGACTGTGAATAAAGACTTTTTTGACATATGCCATTTAGATCTTTGGAAATTAAACAATCATAGTTCAACATGACAAAATCTGTAATTAACTACTGAAGTAACTGACTATGCTGTCTGTAACACCTTCTTCCCAGTGATAGGAACTTTGTTATGTTATAAATCATTTGCTTTAGTTCAGGGATAATATTTTAGTCATCCACCAGAACTACAACTGTTAGTGGTAAACCTTATTGACAAATTGAGAAGAAACTTATCTAACGGAAATTACCCACTGCAGTACTTTCAGTGCAAGTTTTCATCACTCATCATTTATCTAGCATCTGACTTCAACCAGATGAAGGGCACCTGGATTTGTTGGAAAGAACTGAAAAGTTTTATCTACATAACATCTCCCTTCTGTTTTAGTAGTTTTATGTAAGTATGAAAAAGGTTGTGGAAGAAAATGTATTTGCCAAGGTACTTGGAAGAGAAAGGGTGAGCGCAGGAACAAAAGCTCAAGTCGATGTCACTATGCTCTGGTCGGGGCCTTAAAACAGTCCAGTGTGTATTTTTCTGACCTTAAAGTCCAGTAGCTTCACTTTTTAGTCTGAACAAATATGGCATGTTTATCTGTATATTTATACATTGATATACATTTTCTTTTTACATTAACTAGCCACAGAAATACGTCACTTTAGAGAAGTTGCTGTCAATATTTTCATCTACTTAAACCGATTTCTCTGATTCTCTAGCAGTAATTATCGACTAGAACCTTGATTTTTTAATTTTTTTTTCATTTCAGTTTTATTTGCTATGGGATTTTTTCTGTTATACTTGTGTGTAGGGGAACTCATAACATTCATGGCCACTTAAGAATTGAACTAATTGAATAAGAAACTGAACCTGTGCAACATGTTGGGTGAAATATGGTTATTACCACACTCAGACATAGACTAGGTCTGGATTTCTTTCTTTGACTGTGACTGCATGGGAAACCCAGGCTGGAGGAGGCTTCTGGAAGGACCTGTGGCGAGAGGAGCCCATGCTGGAGTAGCTTTGCTGGCAGGCCTTGTGACTGACTCCATGGGGGAGCTCCTTGCTCCAGGCTGAAGCACTGTATTCTTGAAAGACTGTACCCCATGAAAGGGACACATACTGGCACAGTTTGTGAAGAGCTGGAGCCTTTGGGAGGGTGCCATGCTGGAGAAGTTTGTGGAGGACTGTCTCCCATGGGTGGGACCCCGTGTTGGAGTAAGAAGGAAGGAGTGGCAGAGACAATGTGTGATGAACTGACTGCAGCCCCCATTCCTGGTCTCCCTATGCCACTCGGGATGGGAAGGTGTAGAGAAATCAGGAGTGAAGGTGAGCCCAGGAAGAAGGGAGGACTGGGTGGAAGGTGTTTTTAAGATTTTGTTTTATTTCTCAATATCCCATTCTGATTTCATTGGTAATAAATTCAATTTAATTTCCCCAAGTCAAGTTTGTTTTGCCCGTGACGGTAATTGGTGAGTGATCTCTCCCTGTCCTTATCTCGACCCACGAGCCTTTCATTATATTTTTTCTTGAGTGTCCAGTTGAGGAGGGGGAGAGACAGAGCAGCTTTGGTGGGCACCTGGTGTCCAGCCAGAGTCAACCCACCACAAGGAGGTAGGTAAGTTATAGATTCCTGGTAAGAAATTCAGTTTATGGTTATCATATGCTGTGCGACAGAGCATGGGACCTGCTGCTTCTGAAATTAGAAGCAATATAGCTTGGGTTAACATCCATATATTGCTTTTGACACCTGAACTAGAATTTCTGTATTAGATGCTCTGTGTCAGGTGTATGGAGCGTTATTCATCAAATGGCCATTTTATGTCAATGGAATTTCTGTGTGCAGAAAAGATGAAAATATACCCTTTGTTTTCTACAGCAAGGTTCTGCTCTGCCCCAGTTTTCTCTCCTGGGTTTGTTTCTGGCCAGGGGTTGCTGTCTTCATTGTTATTGTCATTGATTTATGTCTGTGAAGAACATCTTTTGTCTTCCTTTGTCAAAAATATTACATTCATTATCTTCCAGGTCTTCTAGGATGTTCTTGGTTTTGGTTATTCCTTTACTGCTGTTTTTCCCTCTCTCATTTACTTTAAATTTCATTCCAGATTTGAGTTTCATGTTTTAAGAGGAGTGAGTGGTGGCTTTTTCTTAGTTTTCTCCATCTGTGGAGGGTATCCCTGATAAACTACATAAATGCCAGCCCTGTGGGGATGTAGGTCAACGTAATAACTAACTTGCATCAAAGCTTGTACCCTGGCTGGAGGGAAGCAAGGGAGAATAATAAGGATGTAAGATGATGCAATTTCCAAGCTTATACAAGCTCATAAACCCCCAAACAAACAGAACCCTCACCTTTCCACTTCTGAGTGTTTAGTTGGGATTTTAGAAAAGTAGACAAAATCTCACAAATAAGTCAAGTGATTTCTTAATCTGGCTGCTAGATGCTCCTCCTTGATGCAGGGAAATTTACTGCTTTGTCTGCCAGTCTTGAAATAACCATGCCTTGACTTGGAATGTGCATGTCATTCACCCAAGCAGATGCATCTAGCCATGAGTTCTCAAAGGGCTAATAAGAGAGAAATCTACCTGAATACAAGCAATACCTAAGTGTAACAATCCATGTATGTGCAGAACCATGTATATAGTAATTGAAATGCACTAATGTTACTGTTTCTCTTGGAAAATTACTGTATATGTTACTTTTCCACTTAATTCCTTATCCTTTTGAATTACTGGAAGGTGGTTCTTCATGGAGAGATATAACAGCTTTTAGGTGATGTTTTTCTATGTTAGCTCTGCTACTTACTGGGTTCTAGTTACATTGCCCTTTATAACTCCCCTTTGTTTGGAGACTAGGTTTATTTTTCCTTTTGTCTCTGAATAGCAGGGAAAAATTACTAGCTTCACTAAATGTGATACTAACACTTCAAAAAGTAAAGAGAAGTTTGTTGTTTGGGGTTTTTTTTGTTGGTTTGTTTTGGTTTTTTTTTCTGAAGAGGAATTCTATTTGGTGATATGCTGGATCTGTTTTACAGGATTTTCCACGGGTTTTCGAAGCTTAGCAAGATACAGAGTTCTATTTTCAAGTATGCATAAGCATATCGGGATTCCAGGCATAGGGAATGTGATACCAGGACTAGAAGGAAACACATATTTGACAAACAGATGAGTGTGATTCAGTGTCAAGAAACTGAGGTTTCTTTTAGAAAAAAAAAATCACAAAATTTCTTATCATAGAATCATAGTTTATGCTGAGTTGGAAGGCACCCATCAGGATCATCAAGTCCAACTCCTGGCCCTGCACAGGACATCTCAAGAATCACACCAGGTGCCTGAGAGTGTTGTCCAAGCGCTTCTTGAACTCAGCCAGACTTGGTGCTGTGACCACTTCACTAGGGAGCCTGTCCCAGTGCTCAACCACACTCTGGGTGAAAAACCTTTTCCTGATATCCAACATAAATCTCCCCTGACTCAGCTTCATGCCGTTTCCTCCAGTCTTGTCACTGGTCAAGAAAGTGAAGAGAACAGTGCCTACCCTTCCTCCTCCCCTCACGAGGAAGGTGTAGACTGTAAGGAAGTCTCCCCTCACTCTCCTCTTCTCAAAGCTGAACAAACCAAGTGTGGCCTCAGCTGCTCCTCATAAGGCTTCCCCTCCAGATCCTTCACCATCCTCATGACCCTCCTTTGGATGCTCTCTAATAGCTTAATGTTGTTTTTCTATTGTGGTGCCCAAAACTGCACACAGTATTCAAGGTGAGGCTGCACCAGTGAAGACCAGAGTGGGATAATCCCCTCCTTTGACTGGCTGGCAGTGCTTTGTCTGATGCCCCCCCGGACACAGTTGGCCTTCCTGACTATCAGGGCACTGCTGACTCATATTCACCTTGCCATCGACCATGACCCCCAGGTCCCTTTCCACAACACTGCTCTCCAGTCTCTTATTCCCTAGTCTATACACACTATCAGGATTGCCCCGTCCCAGGTGCAGAATCCAGCACTTGCCCTTGTTAAACTTCATATGGCTG